ACTAGCTACTACATGAAGGGCACGTGCTTAACCAAAAAGATAACAAATCAAATTCATTAAGTTAAATATGGATGTTGGCCGACTAAACTTGGTTAGAAAGTATCATTAGCCAAATAATATCAAACTTTTATAAGAAAAAGTTTCTTTATAAATTAAAAGTAGTCCACTTGCTTTGTATTTGAAGCTTCATAAATTACGTATAACCAGTGGCGGAGGCAGCATGTAATGAGGGGGGTCATCCGACCCCCCTCGGCGAAAAATATTACTATTTTTATATGGTTAAAATTATTTTTTAGGTATGTATAATAGATGTCGAACCCCCTTCCACTAGTTCGTGTGCTTACTTTTTAGATTTTGAACCCCTTTATTAAATTTTCTGGCTCCGCCACTGCGTATAACTGATTTTCATTTTAATGAGATATATAGATAAAAAAAATTCTAGTAGCTTATAAGGTGGACCCATGGCCATTGGCAACCCATTTGCATCGCTGGTTTTCAGCCATCGATTTTGATGGTTCTTTGTTTTTTTAATCTGCCAAGATAATTATTTGTTTTTTTTTAAAAAAAAAACTCAAAATACTACGAAATTATTTAAAAAAAAAAAAGGACTTTCTCTTCAGTGGTTCAATAGCACTGATTCAGAAAAAAGAGGAAAAAAAATAAAAATAAAAAAAGCTACCTTTTCTTCTTCTTTTAGCTTCTTCATCTTCCTTTCCATTCTCATCTCCCACACACATTCAACTGAAAAACAAATATATACAGAGAGAAAAAGGAAAAACAAAAACTGAAAAAGAAACCAACAAAACAGGAAAAAGACTTAATCTTTTCTCTGTATTTCATATTCTTTAACCGTATATTCGCATAAACTCTGATTGATCTTTAATGGATCTGTAGATCTAACGTTTATTGGCTACGTTTTATTGTCATTTTCACACTATGTGGTTCAGTAATTGACCGGAAATTATACCATTTAAGGCCTAAACACAACTGTGAGTCTTCTGTTTTTCTTCTTTATGTAGGAGAGAAATTGTTAAAGATGTGAACTTGGTATGGTTTTTATGTTCTCTGTGAGTTTTTACTGTTTTTTTTGTTCATTTTGCACTTATGGTTTCACTGGGTTTTGTTTTTTACAATCTTTAAATTGACCCCTTTTTGTTTTGGACGGTAATGGGTTAGTTTGACTCTGCTTTTTGCCCCAAGTTGTTTTCAAATCTTGGGAGATTTTGTTCTTGCTGTTGAAATTGGGATTATGGGATTTGTTTAAGCATACTGTCTTGTTTAAATCTTGGTGAAGTTATTATCCAGTTGAATCTCTTGTTGTATGGTTGTTTCCAATTTGCAGAACAAAGGGAGTAGTGGTGAAAGTTTTTAGTTTTGGGGAGCTGCTGCATCCGTTTGGATGTTGAGGAATTGGTGGTAATCAAAGGTGAAATGAGGGATGCTATCAAGGTTGATAAATTTCTTGAAGGCATGTTGCCGGTCATCGGCGGATCGTTATGTACATAGTGGTACAGATTCAGCTGGACGGCAAGATGGACTTTTTTGGTATAAGGACAGTGGACAACACTTACTTGGTGAGTTCTCTATGGCAGTTGTTCAGGCCAACAATTTGCTGGAGGATCAAAGCCAGATTGAGTCGGGTTCTTTGAGCTTGCTTGATTCTGGCCCATATGGAACGTTTGTTGGGGTATATGATGGTCATGGTGGGCCTGAAACATCGCGGTATATCAATGATCACCTCTTTCAGAATCTCAAGAGTAAGCATATTGGATTTTTTTTTTTCACTAAACTGCTAATCTGCCAACTGCCAAGTATTAAGTTGCATAAGTTGATTGGTAGTAATACAGGGCAGCTTGCCGGATAGTGTTTGTAGAATTAGTAGTTTGATAGCTTGATCTTGATTATACTGCAACTTAAATATTGCAGGGTTTGCAGCTGAACAAAATTCCATGTCTGTAGATGTAATACGAAAAGCGTTTCAAGCAACAGAGGAGGGATTCATTTCTCTAGTTGCTCAGCAGTGGCTAACGAAACCTCAGATGGCTTCTGTTGGAGCATGCTGTCTGGTTGGGGTGATCTGTGATGGGACCCTTTATGTTGCCAACCTTGGTGATTCCCGGGCTGTTTTGGGGAGACTTGTCAGGGCTACAGGAGAGGTTCTAGCCCTTCAGCTTTCAGCTGAGCATAATGCAAGTATTGAGTCTGTCAGACAGGAATTGCATTCTATGCATCCGGATGACCCACAGATAGTCGTTTTGAAGCATAATGTATGGCGTGTAAAGGGTCTGATACAGGTATGTTTTTGAGAATGGTAACAAGGCGTGCTCTAGACTCTAGTTTGCTAGTGTGTGGTCTCATCTTGCCTCTTAGTTAAATGCAAAAATCATTATTGCACTCGTATTCTATTCTCATTCATTTGCAGGTTGCCAAGTGTATACTGGCTTTTGTCTTAGTTTTTTACACTCCTTGAAGCTGAAGTGAATTAAAAGCCTGTGATTGTTTCCCCAGTTGTCTGTCTTTTTGATACCCCAAATACCTTATCCTTCTGTTTTGGTTTTCTTAATGAGGGATGGATGGAGTATTAAACTTCCAATTGTATCTAACCGCATGGCTAGGTTTTTATCCTGCATTATGTGCTTTACCTGGATTCCTTTTTTTCTAATTAATTTGTTTCTTTACCTCGCAGAACATGTATTTACTGTTTTGAGAATGTTTTTAATCTTTTGTATATTAATCTGTCAGATTTCGAGATCTATTGGTGATTTATATCTCAAAAATGCTGAGTACAATAAAGAGCCATTGTATGCAAAATTTCGTTTGCGAGAACCTTTTACAAGGCCCATATTGAGTGCGGATCCAGCGGTTTCAGTGCATGAACTCCAGCCACATGATCAATTTCTCATCCTTGCTTCTGACGGTCTTTGGGAACATCTTAGCAATCAAGAGGCCGTTGATATTGTCCAAAATAGCTCTCGCAAAGTATGATCCTTCACTTGAAAGCATAAAATATCTTATTCTTCTTTTAATTTCTTAAAATTATTTATATAATGTCATGGATTGAAAGTTGGTCTGATTTTCCTTAGGCAGTGCCTGTCTATATTTTAAGCACATTACAAACTGAAACCACGTGGCCTGGTAGTTCTTTCTTTGCTAATCACCGCATTATTGCACTGAAAGCTTTAATTATAATGTACTCCCCCCCTTTTGGTGATACACAGTTGCATTGCATCTAAAAAATACATCATGTTACATGGTATTCACTTAATAGTGTGCTGATTTAGAGAGCAGATTATTTCAGTAATAACATCTTGTAGTCACTTATTATATTGCTTGTATAAAGCACAATGCGTTAAAAATGTTCCATGTCCTTGATGAAAACATTAGTTTTTCTTTGTGGGGACTCTTGCACTCAAATTAAGAAACAAAAAACTGACAGCTGCAAAAGGCAATAAAGAACTGTTAGAAGCACAGATCCTTAACATAAGCTATCAGATTAACAAACGACAATTACTTTGTGAGTAATGAAAAATGGAGATAAGAAACTTCTAAGTTCATTGTGCGGATGCTTGAATGGCAGTGCAAAGGGCTTATACTTCCCTGTCAAATTCCCTTTTGTGTATGTTGTTCCGTTTGTTGCCAGCATGAATATGGTTGATGTTCATCTGAATGTTGATGGATTTCAATGTTGTACTTATTAGGAAAGTAATTACATTTTCTATATTCCATTCTTCAGGGAAGTGCTCGGCGGCTTGTAAAAGCTGCACTGCAAGAAGCGGCAAAGAAAAGGGAGATGAGATATTCTGATCTGAAGAAGATTGATCGTGGTGTGAGGAGGCATTTTCATGATGATATCTCAGTCATAGTCGTGTTTCTTGATTCAAATCTTGTGAGCAGAGCCAGCTCACTTAGAGGGCCCTCTGTATCTCTGAGAGGAGGTGGTATGAACTTCCCAGCGAAAAGTCTGGCTCCCACTCCCACATAACTTGGTACTGCTTGACCTTTTCACTGTGTTGTATACTTTGCTGTATCCTTTCTGAAACTTCTTATGACAAGTAGATTAAAGAGAAATAACAGAAAGTGCGGCACTAATTTATTCTTTTGTTGTGCAATGTAATGTTTTTGATGTTCAATGTAACGTTTAACTTGGAACAGACGTCTTTATTAACTTTATTAGTAGGCAAGAAGATCAAATTTTCTTTCTTGAGGATGAACTTCTCTGCTTATATTCTATCAATTTTACTTGCTCACTTTTCTGTGGTAAATGTAAATGAACACCTCTCATTTTGAACCCACTAACGACAGTTTTTCCTGGAAATGGATTCTTGACTGTTGATTTCAGACACTGTTTTCTAGTTCGGTTACCATTGGCCATGGATGGACGTTGATTTTTCGAGGATTTTATTTGTCTAATATCTCGAATTCTTGGCTCCTAATATTCAGCCGTCAGGAATTCGCTGATAAGTTTATATTTGACAGTACCCCAATAACACCAGTGCTTGCTAGCATCTTCCAGAAGCAGCAGTGAATAATGGACCATGTACGTTATTGGCATTATTGGTTTGATTGACCAACAGTAGTATGTGGGGGACAGCTGAAAATTGACCATTTCTCTGTACTTCTGAACATTTCTCTGAATTCACAGGTCATCAAATCATCTATTTTTGTCTATTTGATACACTTGTTAATTTTGATATTTCATGATTTAAGATGCTATTTCCTGATTATTGCTAACTGGAATAAGTTGTGATAACTAGTTTTATGCTAACTATCAACTCACTGCTACCCGAGCTTGAGACCAACAATGTGAGTAAGGCACATGTTACAGTAGCCTGCTGATTGCAGTGTAATGACTAAGTTCTAGTAAGATGGGATAAATAAGATTTATATGACAATGAAACTCAATCAAATATCAAAGTATGATCCCTTCCTTTTCTACTATTCTGCCAATACAAAGAAGGTAGGTACCGTTTTTATAAACCTTTTAACCAAAGGTCTCGGGTTTGAGGCTTGAGAATGGAGAAACTCCCAATAGAGAGAACCTAAAATATGTTCTTTGCCGACTTACATTAATCAAACTTTAACTGATATTATATGTTAAGCCTATGCTCTTCGTTTCCACTTGTGCTTGTTTCCTCGGAAGTTCCTGTCAGTTCAAATGAGTCATCTTCAAAGCTTATACTACAGGTATCTAAGCATCTCAACTTTGCACTCCCAAAGGATAGGCCATCTATGTCCATGTAAAATTTCTGCAATCTAATGCCGTCTATGCTAACTGAGCTTTGAGAATAATCAAGTTGTTTCATTCTATGGCTTCCCCTTACGAGTGATCGGTTTGACAATTTGAAGGAACCATTTGAAGGTTGTTTATCTATGATATTTTCTGTAGAAAAGAAGGCAGTCTCCAGTTCTTGCCACACTTGAGTCATGGTAGGCCTTTCTTTGGGGACTTTGACCACACATTTCAGTCCTAGTTGTCCCATCTTCAGCATCATTTCCATGTTGCATTCCTCCATTAAGAGATTAGCATCTATTATTTCATCGATGCTTCCTCGTTCTAAGCTAGGTCTTGCCTGCATAACAAACAATGCAGGAAATTAGTTGAGAAGCTGAAATTGTGCGAGGCAGACACCTTAGAATGTTTTGTACATTGCAACTATTACCCAATCTATAATGTGATAATTAGGATGACCTCTAGTTTTCTCGACTACAGGTCTAGCTGCAACAAGCTGCAGTAGTATTACACCATAGCTGTAGACATCAGTAAACGGAGTCAACTGGAGAGACGTACAGTAGGCAGGGTCAAGGTACCCTGGTGTCCCCTTTATCTGACTGCTAACATGTGATTGATCCCCAATAGGACCTGATTTCACTAGCCCAAAATCTGAGACCTTGACTTCAAAATTTTCTCCTACTAAGATATTGCTTGGTTTTATGTCCCGGTGAATTATACTTGGTCTGATTCCTTCATGCAGATGAGCTATCCCTGGGATAGCAAGTATTAGCGCGTGTCAAAACTTAGTCCTCTCATCTTCTATTGATCAACCACATAACACACTGAAAAATTACCTTTAGCAGCTCCAATAGCTATCGTCACTCTCTGCCTCCATGTTAAGCTCCTTCCGCCCCTCCCTACAATAAGCATTTCCACAAAATGTTAAGCTTCAGAACTAAGCAAGAAATCATGACTCTGGAGTTGGAACTTTACCCATGATGTAGTCTAACAGAGAACCGTTTGGAACATACTCATACACCAGAATTTTTGCTCCCTTTGGACCTGTTGATGCATAAAACAACATGATGAACCTTATAATCTTTGACTGTAATATTAATAAAGCATGATGAATTTACCAGCTCCTTGGCAGAATCCCACCAAGCTAACGAGATTTTTGTGCTTCACTTTCGAGACCAACCTGATCTCTGTATGCAGATAGCAGTTGTATCAATTACTGCAAAATCTCAGGCGTCTAAACAGAAAGAGGTATGCTTGATTACCATTTTCAAACTCTTCAGTACTTGTGTATGATTCAGTATGCGCCTTCTTTATAGCTAGTGTTCCCTCCTCATCAAATGTCCCTCGATAGACATTTCCAAATGCACCAGAACCAACCAGACACTCTTGACTGAAATTATTAGTTGCCTTCTGCAATTGTTCCAACTGGAAGGGCTTCAACATCAGTTGTTCAGCTTTTAGAGTTCCTAATTACACCCAGAAAATGTCAGTAAAGCAAAAATTCAGGACAAGAAATAGTTTTTCAATGTTCCATGACGAAGAAATAGTATCCCTTGAAGATTCACTAACCTTTTTGGTTCTCCGGTAACCTAAAGCATGCAAAAAGCTTTCTCTTGAAGCAGTAAAAAATTGAACAACCAAAAAATAGTATCAAAATTCCAGCTGATACTCCTCCCCATATGTGTTGCTGACTTTGAAAGAAACCTCTACTCATTTTTGTTTAAGTTTATCCCACATCTATTCTGCTATGCCTTCCATGCCTTAATTTTTCTTTGCATTCAACTGCTTTACTAAGTGAGCTAAAGCAAGAATAGGTAGGTCTGAAATACTTGTTCAAAAGGATTTAGCATCTCTGCCGGCTTGCTATTCATTTGTTGTCTTTCCCAGACTTGGTCAGTTATCCTTCTGTCCAAGCGGCACATATGGCCAAAGAGGACATGAAAACATATATATATGCATGTAGTTATGCAGAAATATTCATATGAAAATGACTTCACAGTAAAAACCAGAGAATGTGATGTATTCATTTCATATTATATAAAGATATATATAACTAGGGAGATGCTTCTAATTGCAATGAAATGGTGGTCATGTTTTCCATTATATTATATAGTTGTTGGCAGCATCAGACACTGTATTTAGGAAAGACATTACTGTCTGCTTTATCTTATTAGCAGTATTAAAGATACATACAATAGGTCCCTTGTTACATTAGCAACAAGACAAACAATGCCTTCATAATCAAATAGGTTATACTACGTCTATAAAATTCCTTGCAGAGCTTTACAATTAAGTCGCGAACAATTTGTAAACATTAAGAATTCAAGAACCAGGATCATCATCCTCTCGTCCTAGCTTGATTCTCAAGTACAAAAAGATCGAATGTACATTCAATTGAACAAGTACAACAACTATGTTCTTTTCGGTTGTGTGCAAGTTCATACCAATACTATGTCATAGGAACAACGGAACAAGTCATACCATATCGTTTTCTTTCTTGATAGTACAATTTAATGCACAATTATTGCATGAAAATGATCTCGAAACGTTTATGAATCCATATACAAATAAATCAAGAACACTCAAAACTTCTACTTTTACACAACTGAGAAAAAACTCAACCAACATTAAGCTATACATTAATCAGAGCTCTATCTTGTAACAAAGTTTCTGCTGCTATTTTCCCAGAAACTAAAGCTCCATCAAAAGTAGCACTAGTCACATAATCTCCACAAATGTACAAGCCCGGTTTTATTTTCGGGTTCTTCTTCAAGTTAGTGGGTGGGAATTGGTTCGGTTGGGCAAACCCGATCCTGTACATCCTCAAGTAACTCCATGACCCAACTACCGACTTCCCAAACCAACCCGATAGCTCCTTCAAGACCCGATCCACCAAATCCTCATCTGCCACATCACCATAAAGCCCCACAAGCGTGACAGAAACCAGTGCCTTCCCTGCCGGAGCATAAGAGGGAGCCACATTGGTCGCGAAGAACATGTTATTGACGATTCCTTTACCCGACCCGTTAAGAAGAAGAACCGGATCCTGCACCGGAACTTTGCCTTGGTCAGCTGAAAAATACAAACATACTGTGCTCCGAACCGGTTGCCGAACCTCACCGGTTTTTTCTCCCGCCAATAACTTGACAGCTTCAGGCTCTTCAACTGCCAATATTACCCCAAATTCACTTTCCAACATTTCTCCATTTTGTAATGTCACTCTTATTTTTGTGCTGGAATCCGATCCTGAATCAATGGAAACAACCCGTGTATTGAACAATATTGAATTCGAGGGCAATTTTGCCGCCAATTGTTCCGGAATGGCGGCAATGCCCTTCGCCGGAAGTGTGTTGTCACCAAGAGCTAGGCACTTGAAGATGAAATTGAACAGCCGCGACGTTGTTTCAAGCTCTCTATCGAAGAAAATTCCACCAAAAAACGGTCGAAAGAACCTTTCCAATATTGCATCAGAAAAACCGATCTTCTTCAATAAATTCATCGTAGGTTCTTCTTCAGCACTCAATATTTCATCATCTCCTTGCGTCAAAACTTTCAATCTAGTCAATCCGATAAGTAACTTATCCACAATTGAACCAATTGGGTTAGTTAAAGATTGCAGAGCATCGGCGAAATGCCGGAGAGGATCAGCAACGGTGTGGAAACGACCACCATAGTAAACCTGCGCCCCCGAATAGAATTTTCTGAGGTCTAAAGAGTCGTAATCAAGGATTTTTCGGGCTTCAGGGTAACCAGTAATGAAAATCTGGAAACCACGATCAAGGGTATATCCGTCAACTACATCAGAGCGAACACGGCCGCCGACGGCATCAGAAGCTTCGAGAAGGAGAAACGGGATGTTGTCGGCTTGAAGCCGAATGGCAGCTGCTAAGCCAGCCAAACCGCCGCCGATGACAATGACCCCGGTGGTATTAGGCTGAGAGGTTGAGTCAATGGATATATTTGAGGAAACATACGGCGGTTTTAGTAGTGGGAGGCGGCGGCGCGTGGAGAGGAGAAGAGTTGGGGAAGGGAGAGGGAGAATGGCGGGAAGGCAGAGACACGGCGGCATTTAGGATGAACCGAAACGGGAAGGACAGTATCTAATGTGGAGTTCGTTAGTTACATGCTATCCATTTGGTGGGGCCGAATTCTGTGGTGGAAGGCGTAGATAAGTTATCCAGTTCCTTATTTCTACCCTTCTTTTAAAAATTTATTTTTGGTGACCCAAGAAAAGAATGATCTACGATTTTTAATCGCAATTGTAAAAATTAGAACATTATCCTGTACTGCTGTACTTTAATCTTACTGTTACATATTAGACAAACAATAATTGAACTCCCGTAAATATTTTTCTAAAAGTTAATTTTTTTTTTTGTGTTTGATACTTAGATTGGTAAAAAATTATGAAAATTGAAGAAAATGATTTCTTGAAAGCGAGAAAAACAACTTTTCATTTCATTTAATTTGTACTATGTTTCAGTTTTTTTTTTTGGTTGAACCTGTTTTTCCATCAAGCTACAAGCAAAATTGAAAAGGTTTTCTTTCAACGTGTTTTATTAAATAAACACTTTTGGGAAGGAAAAATATTTTATTTTTTGGTTGAAACTCGTCAAAAAAAATTAAAGTAACGCCTGCATTGCCCAGTGAGGGGTCAAAGTTGATATTTCAATATGCATAAATTCAACGTCATATTTATTTGGTCCATTTGAAAATTGAATGAAGCGTGTTTGATGTAGAAATATATTGACATTTGTTCGTTTTATTTTGTGGCAAGTGTCTTTGAACAAGCATTCTTTGACCTGCTCCAATTCATAAAATTGAACTTGGAAGTTTCAATCTACATCAGTTTTACTGGGGCTTGTCAGCTCAAACCTTATTGATTTGGATACATTTAAATGGCTCAAAATGGTGTCCCACGAACAATATTTATGGGCAGATATTAGAAAACCGACTAGCCTTGGAAGATTCAGGTCCATTTGTTCAAGCGTAAAACGTTTTCATTTCATAATTTTCTGCTTTTTAACTTTCCCGTACGCAAGAATTTCCTATCAATACAAAAATGTTACCATTACTCGTGGTGCCAATCACAATACTGATTTGAATTTTTCAAACATTAATAAACGCACCATACCCAGCTTTCGAACCTAATTGGTGTGACAACTAGTCACATCGTCATGCCACTTAGGCGCCATTTGGAGTTTGCTTTTGCCATGCAAGAAGGTTATGTGTGCAAGGAAGCCGGTACTCATGAGAAGGTTATAGAGAAGTATATATGAAGATTTCACTTAAAAGACCAAAGATTTATGGAAAGTCCTTGAAACTCTCTAGGCTCATAGAGAACCATCTTTATATTGTAAAAATATGAAGGATTTGTACACATATTATCTGCACATTAGCTCCTTGAGATTGGTACATAAAGGACTCATTCATTTGTAACTCATCAAGCAAATCATTCAAGTCTTGAGAAATATAAAAGCTTTCATTTGGCAATTTTCTCGTCTCACCTATCTAACGTTTCTTTTGCAATCTTGAGTGTAACAAGACTCGAATAATTGGCAAAACAAGAAGTGAGAGCAAGTTGTCAAGTGTCACATTGTGGGGTTGTCAAGCAAATAGAATGAGGCAACCTACCGATTTAAGTCAAGCATCCTACCTAAAAACAAAGAAAGTGTAAAGAACAGGGAGAACTTGCAGCAATCCTCTAATGCAAAGCAGTTCCAAAAGTCAAGTAAAGGTACATTATAACTAACATTTATAATGTTGCAAAAGTCAAGGAAAGTGCATAACTAACAATTGTTGATGAAATTCAACCATTGGCACCGGCAGGCCAAAAAAAAATCTCATCTACTGGTTACAGGCCTGCCTAGTAGAAGCATAGACAAAAATAATATTATTTAACAGCAAGTACCAAATTTAGGTATGACTATATGCAAGAGGTGTGAGTTGAAACATCAGCAGCAGAATGGTTGGTGCATGAACATAAAAATAATACCTTGTATATTCAGCCACTTCTCAAGTATATTCATTTCATTACTCAAATAATGTGTTGGCTATACAGAGCACCTCAAAGTAATTTATTATAGGCATAGGCCAAGTACTTTCTTGAAAGCACCTTGTCTACAACAACAAACCCAAGTGCAATCCCGCAAGTAGGGTCTGGGGAGAGTAGGATGTAGGCAGACCTTTCCCCTATCTTCATGGGGTAGAGAGGTTGTTTCCAATAGACAGCTCGGCTCAAAAGAATGAAGCACCTTGGCTAAGAGGAGAATTTTAAAAGTCTTGTTATGTTAATTAGGATCAAGGTAGACGTTATCTTGCACAAGGCAATTGCAAAACAAAAGGCACACCAATACAAAGTGCTATTTTGTGGAAGTAGAGTACACTAAGATTGCTCAAAATTCTATACATGGTGGTAAACAACTACAACGATCAAGCTCAAAGGAGCCCAACTCTAATTTACATTATATTTTCAGGAAAATTGGTACAAGCGAGGACAAAGAAATAGAGAAATCCTACAGCCAAGTATGAGGAAATAAAATAACCGCGTTATATTTTACAGAGTACAGTCACCTACAGATCCCTTCTGCACAATGGACAAGATCCATGTCTCAAGAGCCATGTATCGATGCACGGAAGGTGAAACATGTGATGACATTGTGGTAAACATCTAGCAGTCTCTCCACGTTGAAAGTCCTGGGAAAGATAGAAACAGAGAACAGCGTTCAGAATCAATTAAGTAATTCAATAACAGACGATAGAATAGCAAAACAAAAGGTATAAATGTGTCTTACCTGTAGGCAGACTGAACAGGAGACTCTCTCTCCAGAATCATCCACATCATTATCATTAGTAATTACAATCTTAGGTATCTTTTCAACAGAATCTCCAGGTAAACCCTTTGCCCCGCCTACATCGAAAATGTTAGGGAACTCGTCGTATGCAGTATCAATGGCTCCCATCTGTCCAACAATAAGAGAGTGTTACAAATGAAGTTTCAAGCAGAATTCCACAATTCAACCAATTAGGCTGCAACATACCTGACTTTGTACTGCACTTAGCATTGCAGGACCAATCCGCTCACGAACTAGTCTACCACTTAATAGGCTCGCGATTACATCAATCTGCACAATTCAATAATTGTATCTATTATTCGAATGTCAATGGATCATGAAATAGAACTCACATAAAGTTGTCCCTTTTATACAAGTTACATAATTAGTCAGCTCAATGAGAAGAAGCAACAATGCTTACCAAGTAAAGAAGACATCCAATTCCAGATTCATCAGAGTGCCATAGTAATAGAGATGATTCAAAGACTTCAAGAGAGAAAACAGCACCAGATATGGCACCAACTGCAGCACCTCTAACAAATCCACTTTCTGTCTCCTGGCCTATCAAAGCTCCAGTCATTGCTCCTAATAAGGTTCCCACTGCAACAACCAAATTCATTCTACATTAGCTTACCACAAAGCTAGCATCACCAAAAAGCGAAAAAGGAAACAACTTTTTATAAATTGAAGTAAGTAATTCCATCCTAAACATTTGGAACATAATCACCCACAAAAATAGAAGATATAGGCTTAAGAATTCAAAAATTGTCCCTTCTCAGATTCTCTTTATACCCTAATTTCAACTCAAAGCAAAAATTCAACCAAATTAGAGATTGTAGAACAAAATTTCCCAGAACAAAACTGTACGCCATCAAATGGGATTGCACAATTTAGGGCAAAAATCATAAGAAATACAAAAATAATACCCACCTAGTGCAAAGAAAAAGGTGAAAATTGCAGAGAATACATTGCCGACGATCGTAGATACGGCAAAGCTAAAACAATATTTAACCCTTTCAACCAAATCTCCGATTGAAAAATTAGAAACAGAGGATGATGAAGGCAAAGCACGAGATGGGTATGCATAAAACTCCATTCTTTTTTTTGGTTGGTCGATTGATTCAAGAAAAATCTTGGGGTTTGTCCTTATTACTATAAAGATTTTGGGGCTCCAAGAAAGCAGCAAATATATATATGTATTTTTTCGAAAGTAGCGATGTATATATAGGAGTAGCCAAAGAGAAGAAGTTATGAAGAAGGTGTAAAGGAGTAATCTTCGTTGCTAAGACAAGTTGACAATTACCCTACAAAAACCAGCTCGCATTTATGACTTTGCTTACTTTTTCCATCAAGATGAGAGTGAAAAGGAAAGAGAAAATTATATGATTGAATTAAAATTTGGCTTTTTTTGCGAAAAATTCAAAGGGCAGCACGGAGAAAAGTGAAGTTTCTTTTTGGTCTTTAGCGTGAGTTTTTTATGTGTGATATTTCAGGCTGTCTTTTATAGAATTCTCGGTAGATATTTTGGCTGATTACGTAGACGAAGCTATTAAATTTATTAGGAAATTTTAGTTATATACTCGTATTAGGATTTGTTATGATTAAATAATTGAATACATAATAAAGTCTTCTCTTCTTATTAAACACTTTCAATATAATTTTTTAATGTACATACATTTCAGAAGTTATTAAGTAGATAGTTTACATCTACAATAATAAAAAGTGTCAGAAGTGATTCAAATTCGATGAAAAGGGGTAAGTGGTTTTCTTATATAAATTTGCATAATTATCCTTTCATGAATTGATTTTGAGTTTGAATTAGATTCAAAATTTATTTCTTTTACAAGATATCAAAGCGTAATTAATTTTAATTAATATTTACTGATGATGAATAGTGGACTCCCAAATTAAATTGTTCATGTATCAGATATCTAGTCTGAACAGAAGCAAATGTTAAAGAGTACTCCCACATTGTATGAAAAAGAAATAAGTAATTTTCTTATATTAACTTAAACAATTTTCATTCCGTAAACTAACTTTTAAAATTGAGTCAAAAGTTCAAAATTCATTATTTTTTCTTCAAATGTATCCCCTTCTCAATTTCTTTTTGAATTTCCCTTCTTTTTTCAGATCAGACTTCAGAGTATTAAAGGAAGTGGTGGTTTGGTGAAGGGTGGATAGATCACCCTACATTTTATTAAAGATTTAGGCAGAGATATTTTTGGGGAGGGACAACGAATGTGCATGTCAGAGCACAAATATAGACCTATTTTATATCATAACTCAATAAAATGCATGTAATATAGTTAGATTATTTTTTTTCTAAATAAAAAAATTTGATTAAATTTAAATTTACTTTTTCTAATAAGATTTTCTTCATTTTGAGAAATTGAATCTGAAATCTTTGATTAGTTAGTAATCTAAGGTAGAAATCAGAGGCAAGCACATTTATGTGATAAAAAGAAAAAAGGAAAATATTAATGTCGGTATTTGCACTAAAGTAGATATAGTATATGTATTTTGGTGTGACGCAAATGCGTAAGGCAACTAAAGTATTTTTGTATATTTAATTACATGTTGGCTAATGGAGGAGTTGTTTAAAAATTAAAAATATGCCTTGTGGGGTAGGACATAAGCATTCTTATTTTTATTTTTTTTTTAAAAACGAACACATTTGACTAAAATATATGCATTGTTATGTTGGGCTGTTAATATGTTTTTCAATTAGAGTGATGAGGATCTATACATTGACTAGATATTGATGATTAACTAATTGACGGTATCCATCAAATTATACGGTAGAAAAAACTAAGTACTAAAAATATCTACATTTTGACGTAAGTATGCACAAAAGTCTTACCTGCTAACTATAGTATATGCTCTATTTTTCTTTTTTTCTTTTAAATTTTTATTTATTTTTTATATATTTAACATACATATCTTTAATATAAGATGATAAGATTCAAAAGTCTTTTTTACTTTTTAAATTTCATAGCAAATCGAAAAAGGACAAACAAATTTATAGAAATGATGCATTATATCTTTAGTTTTTTCCCGAGGAAAAAGAAAAAAAGATATCTCAAGTCAATGAAGGATTTGTTTCATTGTAAGATAAAATTGAAATACTTAGGATGTGTTCAGTACATAAAATATATTTTTTAAATTCTTTTTTCATATTTGATTGGGTAAAAAGATTGAAATAAGTTTTAAAAAAAAGTTTTCTTTAAGAATGGGAAAATGATTTTTCTATTTAAGTATAGAAAATAAATTTCATGAGTGACATTACACGTCAAATACACACCATTAAAATAGAAGCATACATGCAAAGTTCTAAAATAAAAATTGCTGATGGCAGAATTTCAGCTTTGAATATTTGATACAATATCAGCACTTTTGCTCTGCTTTTTAATTAAAGAAGAGTTTAAGTTTCATACTATATATTAATATTGTAACATATCTAACTTCTAAGTAATCAGATCACTTCTAAAAAAAATATGTGAACTTTAATAATATGTATTGATTAATAACCTGGGAATTAAAATGATAATTTTACGTGGCTTTATATAACTTCAATCCACTAAAAATGTGGAAATGGTTTTCCAATATCGACCAAATATAATTTAATAAAAACTTTTTTATATTTTATTTACACTTTTTATAGGACTAACAATTCCAAGTTCCAGGCAATGTAAAATTTCAAAGATAGTTTGAAAATTTATCTACAAATCATATAAATTTACTATGGTTTCAAAAACAGTTTGAATATTTATCTAATAACCGTCATTCTCTTGTATTACTTTTATCAATTTCTTCTGAAAATAATCATATAACTAAAATAATATTTGTAAAGAATATTAAACCTATATCCCCACAATATTGAATAGTTCATGTATTGATGGAAAATCATAAAATCAGACGGCAAAAGAAGAAGCATTCAACTTAAAACAGTGCAGTCTCGTTTAACAACTCTTTTTTTTTTTCATTTTCATTGACGTTTGATATTCAAATTGAGATTTCAATTAATTTGGATTCATTTTTCATAAGGCTTATTTAAGTAGCAATCATTTCCTTACAAGATGTTACTCATATTCAGAACTCGAATATGAAATCTCCGATTAAGAATAGAGAAATCATATTCATCTCACCACAATTCTTATTAGTCTCGTTTAACAACTATAGTATGCAATACGAATAAAATGAAAGACTATTAGACATATTTTGTCGTAATTAAAGCCACACATAATACATTCACTTGGTCTAAATTTAAGGGGCCACTTGGGGTGTGCGATCGAAGACATTAATTATATTGAAAATGGAGTTGTAACAGAAAAGTTATAACTAATTAAAAGCAAGTGGTAATTTGGTTTAAATTGCTCATTATAGTTAGAGTGCTTAACGTGTAAGTAATCTTTTAAACAACATTAGGCAGCTCATGAAAGTTATTTATACTTCATTTAATCATGAAGGCTTGAATTTTAATAGCCCATACATAAATTATTAAGTGTGTGTGTTTTAATTAGATCGGAATTTTAATTATTTAGATTGAAAAATAAATGTATTGATGTTTTATTTATTTTACATTACAATCACTTAACATATGTTTGAATAGATGTTATTTAAGATCTATAGCAAAGGTTTACTGTCTGTTCGATCAGAAAAATCAAAAGTACTTCTTTTTTCTTCTCCAAAGAGTGCTTATTTTACAAGTGTTAAAAGTGTGGCAAAGCTTATATAGAAAAAATAAGTATTTTTTACCGATAGAAGTTGCTTGTTTCAAGTTAGAAAAAAAGCACTTAGTTTCTTCCTAAATAGTAAAAATACTAAACATTGGCCACGCACAAAGTACTTTTATAATATTGACAAAAATATTTAATAAACAAAACATAAACTACTATTCTCCATAATTACTTTTTTTCGAAAAAATATTTTTGATGAAATATTTCTAAATAAGCTAATTTATAAATTTGGCAAAATTGACTATTAAAATTTAAGATGATATTCATCCAAGAATTTTGGTAAAGATGAAAATAAATCTCAATTATTAATTCTTTAAGATTAAAATTTTAATATTTATACATATATTCAAATTTAAATGTATTAATTTCAATAAAAACAAATGAGTTATTACTCCCTTTGAGTAAATAAAAAATCAGGCGTGTTACGTTTTTTTAACTAGAAGTGGGGGAAAAGTATTAGATGAAGCCATAAATTTTCGGAACAACGTATAGTACAATTCAAGAATTAATAATCAATATTAGGATGTGAAATGTCACTATCAGCATAGCGGAGCCAAGATTAAGAGTTTGAGGTTCTAAATTTTCTTTAAAAAAAAGAGAGGTGGTTCGGAGCTACAACTGCATGAAAAGCATTTTCACGGTCTCTTCCTTACCACTGAACCGCCAATCAATTTTGTTAAGGGTTCACGAGTTAACATACATGCATATATATTTATTTAATTTTCTAGTACAAATATAGGATCTACAAAAAATAAGGCATTAGGCACGTCATCTTAATCTAACTACTAAATTACCTTACAACCAATGTATGTAAATATATCGCTTTCACTATATTAATAGTTTCGTGCTTGATCAAGTATTCCTAAAATTTCCACCTTGAAAATGTTTTTTATTGGTTTCCCATTCGGTGTCTGGAGTCCATATTAGAGTTCTGATTAAATTCGAATTGCACACTACAGGACCCATTCGGGGATGGCGCTCCCAACATGATTTTCTCCAAATCCGAGACCTCTAATTAAGGGTGAAACACTCTCACCAGTGCACCACAATCCACGTTGATCACCTTGAAAATGTTTAACATGCTATATACGTACCACCTTACTTATTTTATATGAAATTCTCCGTTATTTATTACTATGGTAGGGGCATGCTAGAAAAATAATGGTTCTATAATAAATAATACAACTGTGATTCTAGTTTGTTTCGTACCTCACTTATGAGTCGTTTGGTACGATAAATAACCGATAATAATTCTATATTAAAATATAAGTTTATTTTATTTTGTTTTTTATTAGAAATTAGTTAGTCTCGTGATTATGTATCCCACTATTTGCATTATAATGATAGTATAAGTCATTTTATATATAAATATGGTAAAATAACTAATCTCATAAGATTATTGTCCATTATATATCCAAATCAAACAATTCCTTAGAGTGTGTTCGGTAAGCTATAAACTATGAAAAAAAATTCTATTTTTTTCATATTGGATTGACAAAAAAAAAGTTCTCTATGAAAACGAGAAAATGATTTCTCTAATGGAAGTAAGAAAAAATAAGTTTTACAAGTGACAT